GATGTTTCCTGTAATTGGCTTTGACCCAGTTCTCCTTTCTTGAAAATTCCCTCTTGGTGATCTTACCCACTTCTACGGCTTCAGTAATGGGGGAAAAATCTTATTGGAACGTGCATGAAGTAGAAAAATAGAAAGACTAGGTGATACATGTCAACCGAGGAAAAGGAGGAGAAACAGAAAAAGGACAAAGGCCATTATTTGGGGGTCGCAGAATACTCTGGAGTAACCAGGAAAGCATTGTGGTTATGTGGGGAAAGCAAGAGGTTAGTATGAGAACAAGGGGTTAATCGCATGATTCAGGCAAAGAAGAGAAGCAAAAACAAAACAAAAAACACTGCAAATTTGGTGCTGACTAGTCGAGCTGCTTCTGATTGTTAGCTTGTTGATGATGTGATTGGTGCTATCAAATGACACTGTCCCTTCCATGTATTAATTAACCTCACTATCCTCCAATGATTCAAATGCCAGTTGCTCTGTTGAAATTTTATGAGCAGCATATTCATTGAAGAGTTTGTTAGTTGCAAAGAATAGTGGAACTTCAAAGTGGCATCTCTTATGTGCAGAAATTTTATAAAAATCCACATTCATCATCAGGCTGAGGAATGCTGGGTAATCTGCAGTGTAGTCCTCTGATGAACGCTTCCTTGAATAACGTTTATTTATTTTATTAATTTATATATTTTGAGAGAGAATGGGAGGTCCAGAGAGAGAAGGGGAGAGGGGGAGAATCCCCCAAGTAGCCTCTGCACTGTCAGCATGGAGCCCAATACAGGGCTTGAACTCAGGAACTGTGAGATCGTAACCGGAGCCAATACCAAGAGTCAGACGCTTAACTGACCGAGTCACCCAGGTGCCCCTGAATAATGTTTTTAAATGCATAAATTAAAACACAGAGGATTGCAACCAATAATGTTGAAATAAAGTTATCAAAACATTTTTTAAAAGTTTGTGAAGTAAAATGTATATTGTGCACTAATGCATGAAATAACAAGATCAGACAACCACCAGAATTACAAAGTAAAGATGAGTACTTCAGATGTTGGCAGTAACTGTACCATGGTATGAAAATTCTCGGTGACAGACTCATGGGTTCTTCTAATATTTGTGTGAGATATTGCCTATCTTGTTAACTGAAGGGAATGTTGAATTTGTTAGAGATCAGGGAACTTGAAGATTGAGCTCATAGAATCCCATGAGTTCCCATGGATCCAAGGTTAAGAATACTTGGTCTAGAGATTTCTAGAAGAGATTGGGAATCCTTGTTTGTATGCCTGCCAGAAAGCCACAGGGCACACCATGAGGGAAGGGATGGTGCAGAGCCATCCAATTCCCATTAAGCTGTTACTCCACATCCCACATTCTGTCCATTTGGTTTCTCTGGGCTTCTAGAGTCTCCTCTTTTCTTCCTCAGCATGTCTCCTATATTGAAGTGAAGTTGAAGCTAGTCACTTCTCTTTGGTAGAGGCTTTTGTGTTCTGGTTTTGTTTGTTGGGGGGCTGTCTCTCATTTGATTTCTAAATATCTGTAATTATAATAAGGGAGGCTGAAACTGCTGATTATCTAGAGCCATTTCCTCATGCTATTAACACAGACAGTTAGGCTTTAAATATGGATAGAGTTAAAATATCCAACTTCAGAGTCAGTCACAGATTTTGAGATAGATTTTTTAAAAATCTCAGTCTGTTAAGTGTCTGACTTCGGCCCAGGTCACCATCTCACAGTTTGTGAGTTTGAGCCCTGCGTCAGGCTCTGTGCTGACAGCTCAGAGCCTGGGGGCTGCTTCAGATTCTGTGTCTCCCTCTTTCTCTGCCCCTGTCCTCCTTGTGCTCTCTCTCTCTCTCTCTCTCTCTTTCTCTCTCTCTCTTTCTCTCTCTCTCTTTCTCTCTCTCTCTTTCTCTCTGTTTCTCTCAAAACATAAGAATAAACCTTAAAAGAGTCTCCTCCTCACCTTGGCTTCCCAAACACTGCCTTCTCCTGGACCTCTCTTACCTTCCCAACTCTCTATTAGTCCCTTCTGAATCTTTGTATCTGTTTCACACTCTACCAACCAGAGAGGTGTAGGCATCCCCCACCCCCCATGTTAGGCTTTGGGCTAGCTTTCTTTTCATTTCTTCCCCTTGATAATCTCTCCCAATCCTTGATCTACCTCCTTTCCCATGTTCCTCGTCCATTTCAAAAGCTCCCTATCCCCCTCCATCTTTCCAGTTGTTCTGATATCAGTGAAACTCAGCAGATGTTGTCTGGATACTGTGCCCTGAGGAATACGTCAGGACTGCGGCCACAATACTGAACCAGTAGAGCAGGTGCCTGCCTTCAAGCACTCTACAATCTATCAGAGAAAGTCAGCCTTGAACAAGTAATTTCAAGAGCGGGACTAGGTCAGAGGGGAAGTAACAGGTCATGCAGGGGTTGGTGATAAGGGAGATCTAGCCTAGTTTGGGGAGATAGGGAAGTCTATCAGAAGTAATGTTGAAGTCAGGATCTTAAAGGTTAATTGAGATATAGTAGTGTAGGAATGAGAATTGGGAAGATGCACACGAAATGCCAAAGTCTGGAGAAAATAGAGGGAAGGAGATAAAGATATCTAGTGTGCCTTTGGTGTAAAAAGTCAAAGAAGGCATTTGAGTTCAGTGAGGCTGCAGAGAGGCAGGCCAGACTGGTGAACACTTACCATTCATGTTGGGGAGTTGAGGGGAGACATCATCCTAAGGACAGTGGGAGCCCATGGGATGCGTTAGTCAGGCAGCAGAATACTTACATTTACATTTTAAGTGATTAACCCAATTGCAGTATGGAGCATGGTTTGGAGAGCCAAGAATCCACGTAAGGAGACCATGGCAGATGGTTATAGTCACCCTGTTAAGAGACGATGTGGCAGTCCTGTAGGAAAACCTGTCATCCTTGACTCCTGCCTATTTCTTCTTCATGTTCTCCTCAAGCCCATCAAACACTAAATCTTTTCAGACTTCGTTTCTAAAACCTCCATTGGCTGTGTGCCTCTTTTTAGTCCCACTAACCAAATTCCAGACTTCTTGTTTTCTTTCCACTGACTTGTCATCTCTGGGTCTCCTTTTTGCTTTCCAGTATGCCTGAGGGTGAGCCCATAATGAATTTGGCTGCTCCTAGATGCACCACAGTGAAGCCCAAGCTCTCCTCTTCCTGGCTCATAGCCACAGTGAGGTCCCTCCAGACACTGCCTGCCCTGTCCACTGGGCACGCTCCTGTGTCGGAGGCAAGGACACTGTTTGACAGCCTCCTCCTTCTACCCGGAATGCCTGTCTCTCCCAGCTCACCCATAAAATCCCACCTTGGAAGACTCCTTTCCCATCCTACTCCTCCAATTCTAGAAGCTGCCAGCCCCCAACCGGAATTAATTTTCCCTTCCTACCCGTGCCCCAGCGTGACTTCAGATGATGCATTATCTAGCTAATTAAACTTATTACTCTTGTTTCACCATTTCGTAGTGGTATACTTCCTGTTTGAATTATTATGTAGGAGACAGGCTCTCTCTCTAGATTGTAAATTTCAAAGGCCTAGGGAGATTTGTCACAGTCATTTTCTGAGTCTTCTGTCCTGTGCTTATCAGGCCTCAGCAAATGTTAAATTTGATTGCGGATGACGGTGGGGTGAAGGGGTCCCTGAATTGTGGATGTCTCTGGGTCACATACCCAAATCCGTTCTGGCTGTGATAATCATCAAATGTGCAAGAACATTTTACTAAGAGTATTGCTTTTATTTCGAAAACAGCTAGATGGAACAAGTGTCATTAAGAAAGGCAGCTGACTGTTCTAGTGAGAAGTGCTGGATTCCATGTTGAAAGCTGAAATTCAGTCCATAGGTATTTCTTGAGCCCTAATTATATATCCAGCACTGACAATGCATAGCCATAAATGAAACGAATCTCTGTTCTGGAAGCCCTTATAGGTATTTTCATAAGGGTGTGAGGTTTTCCTTCAAGAGTTTACATTGTCTTAAACTGGGAAAGAAAGAATTCAGTCCTTTATTAAAACATGATATGTCAGAAGTGAAACCACAGTCTTAACCGCAGCACCAAGCAGAGCCAGGCAGAGAGAATGTGTTGTCCATATACAAGGAAGTCTAAAAAGAGAAAGCGTATTTATTAGGATACCTTTGTTGTATTTTATTTAAAGTTTTACTATTATTGTATATATTCCTTATCTCTGTTTTTTTTTTCATTTATTTTTGAGAGAGAGAGACAGAGCACAAGCAAGAGAGGGGCAGAGAGGGAGGGAGACACAGAATCAGAAGCAGGCTCCAGGCTCTGAGCTTTCAGCACAGAGCCCAACGCAAGGCTCAAACCCACGAACTATGAGATCATGACCTGAGCCAAAGTCAGACGCTTAACCGACTGAGCCACCCAGGCGCCCCTATCTCCAACTTTAATAGGACCCTGCAACCGGCAGGTTTTAAGAGTTTCTTTGTATCGTTTAGCTGGGAAACATCAGTAGATATGTTAAGTGATAAAAATAGTATTTTTTATTTTTATTCTCTAATAGTAATAAAAACTCGCAATATTTCAGTTTCTATATTAGTTCTGTATATGCCCAACATTGTACTAGAAGCTGGAAACATGCAAAACTTTATTTACACCCTACAATAACACACAGAAGTACTATTATATATCAGAATTGCATTACTGTTGGAAAAATAGGAATATATCACTAGAGGAAGATGCTCATGTAGGAAGCTCTGAATTTTTCTTTCCAGCCTAGTTTGAAGCTGGACATTAGGGACATCTACCTTGATTTTCTGAAATAGGAGCAAAAACTGGGGGTAAAACAGAGGCTACGCTCTTAGAACTGGGAAGGTTAGCATGGGGGGGGATGTAAGAGGCCTTTGGTGGAGAATATAAATGAACGACATGTATTTTAGAAAAGAGTAAAGAGTACATTCCAGATGTCTGTGTATGCATGTATCAAGATCTGTGGCTTCAAATTTGACTGGATTTTGTTTGTTTGTTTTTCAAACTCTTTTCTAAGAATTGCCCTGGTGGAAAATATTCCTGAAGGCCTTAACTATTCAGAAAATGCACCATTTCACTTATCACTTTTCCAAGGCTGGATGAATTTACTCAACATGGCCAAAAAGTCTGTTGACATAGTATCTTCCCATTGGGATCTCAACCACAGTCATCCATCAGCATGTCAGGTAAGCCGCACCCTCTGTGTGTGTGTGATGGGTTTACTTATGTGCATTTTACACGCCTTAGCATTCTTGCTCTCACTTCTCAGGCTCGAAGTCTTTTCTTTAGTCTACCCTCACCCATAGTACATGGGCATCATTACATTTATATGTCTGTGCCATTGTTCATCATCTGTTGCTCAGCTCCTACTAGAATGCCAGGTTTTCAAGGGCAAACTCATGTTCCGTCTTTGCCTACGATAGGCTGTCTAGACGGCATTGCTGAGTTGGACCACTTTGGGGGGCGCCACTCACGTCACGGTCTCTGTTGACAGCACTCCCCAGAATTCTGCTTTGCACACCCGCATGCTTGTAGTGCTAACTCTGTGTCTGCCCCGAGGCAATTACTTCGTTAATTGGTGTCATAATTCACTCTGAGGTCCCAGAGCCAACTTTTTTAAATAGTGGAATCAAACTGCCCAGTGTAGTTATTTATTCTTGGCTCTGTGATATTTGAGTGAATAGGAGAGAGAGAAATGTACTAATTGCAAGAACAGCCTTGAGGAAACCGACTGAGTGATCCAAATGACTTCTGAATGAAATATCCTGGAGGTAAGAAAGTGATCCCGGTCATCTTTAGTGTTATGTTTTGTTTTGTTTCTTGTTGTTTGTACTGGCACAGTCATGATAGCACTGAGTTACCCAAGCTTTTCTACGCAAGTATAGGAACACTGGCCTGTACTTCCATGTTCTATATGGATTGGGCAAGGATAGAATCAATTTTGTTCGTGTATATAACGTGTGTTGGCATGTTAGCCTATAATCACCACCTCATTGGTGCTTGGAAATCTTTTATTTAATTATATGATTTTATTTTTTTAAGTTTATTTATTTATTTTTGAGAGAGAGGGAGAGCATGAGCAGGGGAGAGGCAGAGAGAAAGAGAGAGAGAAGAGAGAAAGACTCCCAAGTAGGCTTCACACTGTCCTTGCAGAGCCTGACTTGAGGCTCAAACTCACAAACCATGAGATTGTGACCTGAGCCGAAATCAAGTCGGACACTTAACCTACTGGGCTGCCCGGACGTCCCTCAATTTTACTATTTTAAACTCACAGGATATCAGATAATAGGTAAAAACAAACAAACAAAACTCACAAAGGCCGTGCTAAAGAGGAACTGAGTAAATTTACTAATTGTGTTCTTCACTTTTCTACCTCTCCTGTTTACACGGGGACATCAGGGATTTGTTGCTACATATATCATTCCAAAACCTAGTGGTAGCACACGTAGCAATCACTTACTTCTTCATGAATCTGGGAAGGGTTTAGCAGAGAAGGCTCATCTCTGATTCACACAACGTCAGCTGCAGTGACTTGCCTAGGGCTGGAGGTCCCAAAAAGGCTACTCACACTTCCAGCCTCTTACTTAGGGGTGACTGGAATGTCTGGGGGCCACCTGGGCCCCTCTCTGCATATGTCTCATCACACAATAAACTAGCCTGAACTTTATATCTTAAAAGGCTAAAAGCAGAAAGTATGAAGCCTTCGAAGACGTGGGCTCTGTGATATCCAAGCTGCTTCCACCCAACTCTGTTGGTCAAAGCAAGTCACAATCCAGGAGGAAAAGGAGAGCCTCTATCCAGTAATGAGGAGGATTGGAGGCAGGCTTCTTTGGAAATTATACTCCACAGTCCACTCCAGCCATAGCAATCCATATCACTTGCACATACGAAATGCACTTCTCACCCCCTCCCCAAACATTCATGCCTTTACAGCAAAGGCTAGAAGTCTAGGATCTCCTAGTCTGTATCACATCCAGATCGGGATGAGGGCCCACAGGTGTGCTCCTCTTGACTTGAAAGCCTGTGAACTAAGAGACCAGCTATGCGCTTCCCAAAGTACGCTCTCAACAGTGAGGCATGGAAGAGATAACTACAACAGATACTTTTGTTTAATGGGAGACTGGAGAGCACAGAGCAGTACTGAGTCCATAGCAGTTTTGAAATCCAGCCCAGCACATGCTACCAGTTTTATGAGCTGGGGGAGCAGGTGATGCTGCTGGGCTAGGACCTGGTTCTCCCTGGGGGTGCTTTCCTAGTCTGTGGTTCTCAGAAGCTCTTTGCTCCCCACTGTGTTGTTCTTTCCTTCCCATAAGAAATAGCTTATGTTTCTTCCCACTTTCTCAGTTGGCTTCCTGCTGGTAGAAATCTGAGGCCCCAGAGACCTCTGTTCATTTTAAACCATCTCTGTCCTTTTTTGGACCAAAATAGTACAATCCCTTAAGCCTTTGTGGACTTTCTATGTATCCAGTCGTAAACCACTCTGTCAGCAAAAACCCTGATCCACTGAATAGCTGGCAGTGGGTCTTCTCTACTTTGAACTTTGACTCAAGGTGCTTCAGAACCTGACTCTTAAAATTGCCAAGAGCCCTTCCTCTGACCAGGAGGCCTGTGAACCACCTTCCACTTTTAGTCTTCCCGAGGTCTTGACAAGGAATCTTACTGTCGTATCTGTCATTTCATCTTTACCCTGGGGCCATTTCTGATGTTGAGAATATTTTGCTGAATTGAGAGACTGTTCCAGCTTCTACATTTTCACAAAATTCTGCACGAACACTGAACAGTCCTTCTTACCATATGCCACTGACACTTTGATAACCTGCCTGCACGATCTCCTTATCCAGGCCCACAAGCCCATTAGTCTCCCCTTTCTGTTTTCTACCTACTCTTGGACTTGGTGACCTAGATGAACTCTTTTCTGATATGCTCTGTCCCTGAATGATAGAATTTTCTCCCCAACTACAAAGTGATCTTTGCTAAGTATTTTTGTTTTTCCCCTAATAGCTACACAGGCAGTAGTGTGGCCAAACATCTCACCATTACATCCTCAGGGCCCCCGAAGCTGTTTCTTTTCTGATCCTCCAGCCTTGAGGGAGAATGGGATTCCAGCATCCACAGCCACCCAGCCCCAAAGATGGTGCCTCATGCCTTACAGATTTTGCTTCACTGGTTTTCATTTCAGTTACCTGTTATGGTGAAACAAACAACTCCAAACCTCATGAAGTGTTATTTCCTGTGATTCCATGAACAGGCCGCACAGCTTTTTGCTCCAGCAGTGCTGGCTGGGATCACTTGTGCAGTTGGGTTGAGCTGGGGCAGTGGCCGAGGCTGGACTGACTGGGGGCTCTGCAAGCAGACACTCATCCCATTGAGTAATCTAACCCAGGCTTTTTATAGGGCAGCTGGATCCCAAGAAGGCCACGTGGAAATCGCAAGATCTCTGAATTCCTGGACTTCTAGAACATTACTTTGGCCACTTTGTGTGAGTCAAAGCAAGGCACCAGGCCAGCCCACAGCCAGAAGAAGGATAGGGGATTCCAGGAGGAGCACGCCTATTCAGGAATGGGAGATTCTTGGCAGCTAACTTCGGAAACAGTTTACTGTAGCGCATTGGATAGTGTGAGCAAGAGATAGTTCAAATTGTCTTTCCTTAGCCGTACACAAGACCAGCTCATAGCCACTGTGTTGACCTAGAACTGAAAGCTTTAGTATGAATTGGTGAGCCATGCTATGTGCTGGGACCCAGACCAGTCTGGGTGTCCATGCTGTGTGAACCTGGCGTATCAACAGCTCCCCGTTCACCTCGTGGGCACCCCTGAAGACCCAGGTATATCAAACACCCAAGGGAAAGATTTGCACTCACTCTTGGACTTGGTGACCTAGATGAGCTCTTTTCTAATATGCTCTGCTCCTGAATGATGGAATTTTCTCCCCAACTACAAAGTGATCTTTGTTAAGTATCTTTATCTTCCCCCCAGTAGCCACTGTTTCTCTCTGATGCTGCTCTCAGTCTTGGTTGGCTTCCAGGATTCTTATAATTAGTCTAGCCTTGGATCGTTTGGGCTTGGGGGTCCCAGGGAACCTGCCGCGTTCTCCAGGGGTGCCCATTAAGTTCCTTTGCAGGGTTCAAGGTGACACTGGGACCGAGGCAGTTAGCTGAGCATCTGATAGTTCTGGTCAGCTCTGGGGGCAGGCGTGCGGTGGTTCAAACCAGTGGAACAGAGGCAGTCGTGGGCCTTTATAGGTAACTTAGAGTCCCTGGACAGGCAGTAAGATGGGCATGATTCTCATGAGCCTGCTGAGGACCTCTGGCCCTTCTGTGCTTTTAACCCAACCTTTCATCCTTGTCTTTGAGGTGTGAGCTAAACTCTCGCTACTCAAAGTTTGGCCCTCGGACCAGAAGCATCTTTATTGCCTAGGAGCTTATGAAAACACACAATCTCAGGTTGCACCCCAGCCCTACCTGAATCAGATTCTCTGTTTCAACAAGATCCCCAGATGATGCATAGTTTCAGAAACATTTGAAAAGTTCTGAACTACCCCATCCCCATTCAGTCCTCTTGTTCTATAAGCCCAGCAAACTCACCTAGGTATTCACACTATTAGGAAGAAAACAGGTCACAGAAATGCTTTGTCATAGTTCACGACCAGTATTCGGCACTGCTCTCAGAGCAGTGTTGAAATGGATGAATGAGGTTCCAGGTCTGTTTTGCACAACCATGCTAAGTATGGTGCTGGGCATGTAATAGGTGCTCAGTAAATATGTGCTGAGTAGTTGTTGAGTGGATTATGTTAGACATGAACAAAGCCAGGCACTGGTTAAAGTGGTAAGGACAAATTTAAATCAGTAATGTATTTTTGCAATGGGAAAGAGGGTCTGAATGAACTGATCTCAGATTTGTACAGAGATGACTGAGCATTTTGCAGGGGAATGAAGGGGTGGAGGGGTGTGGCAGGGGCTTGAATGGGATCAGGGAAGTAGAAGTTTCTAAAAAGTAGGGGAGGGGATTGGTCCATAAGAAACCCATCTGGGTTTGTGAACTGGTGCTTATCCAGCTGGCCTTCTACCCTCCCACACAGAGATTCTCACCAGGTGTTGGCTGAACAAACAGTACATTCTTTTGGCAATCTTGAGCTTTCTCAAGCAAGCACTTTAAGAGGGTCAGGGTCATCCTGGGGATGTGGCCTT